CTCATCACTTCTTTCCAAGATGAAGAGGAAGCATTGGTGAGCACCATTTGGTTTCATTCACTTAACTAATTACAGATCCACCTAATCGTAGTTTTGCCAAGCCCACATTGGACTAGTTTGTTTGCCAGAAGGTCATGGGGGACCTTGTTGAAGGCCTTACTGAAATCCAGATACGCTACATCCACAGCATTTGCTGCATCAACCCAGCTGGTAACTCTATCAAAAAAAGAGATTGGATTAGTCTGGCATGACTTGTTTTTAATAAATCTGTGTTGACTATCAGTGATGTCTGAATTCATTTCTAAGTGTTTGCAGACCATTTCCTTAATGATCTTTTCCAGAATCTTGTCTGGTATGATGTGAGGCTGACCAGATGATGTTTGGGTAATTCTTTTTTGAATTCTTGAAGATAGGGACTACATTTGCCCTCCTCCGATCTGCTGGGACCTGTCCCATTCTCCAAGAACTCTCAAATATGATTGCCAGTGGTTCTAAAATAACTTCTGCTAGTTCCTTCAATACTCTTGGATGTCATTGTTGCAGCTCTGGGGACTTGAATTCATTTAGAGTGGCCAGGTATTCCTGGATGACTTCTTTCCCTATTTGAGGTTGGATATCCCTTATTCCTTCATCCACTCCATGTTGCTGAGGTTGAGAATGGCTTTCGTTTTGTGAGAAGACTGAGGCAAAAAAGGCATTAAGTAGTTCTGCCTTTTCCCTATCCCCTGTCAGCATTACCCCATCTTATCTTCACAGAGGCCCCATCGCCTCCTTGTTCTTCCTTTTTTTTTACTGACATAAGGAAGTAAGCACTTCTCATTGTTTTTGACATCCCTGGCAAGCCTGAGCTCATTTTGTACTTTAGCCTGGTGAACCTTTTCCCACACACATTTTATCTTTTTGTACAGAGGAGGCAAGGAACAGAGACCAGCCCAAGCTGTGGACAGAATATTCAGTTGATGTTCTTTTTCCTTTGCTGAGACTATCAGAAAAAGTTGCCAGCAGGAAAGGAGCACATGATTTGTACATTTGTCAAACCATTCCCCATCAATTTTAATCCTATCTCAACATGGTAGAAGAAAGAAAGAGGAATTTTAAATTAGAAATGCAAGAATGACTGTAGTGAAGCATGGAAGGTACAGCCAATGAACACCTAACTTATTAACTGAAGAGAAAGAGGAAGGGAGTATAAATGCTAAGCATGCAGGAAGTATCCTCAATCAGCTCTTGAAAGGTGTGCAAATAGACATTTCAAACGTGAGTCTCTCTCTAGAAAGAACAAATATTTTTTCCACCCTGCAATGAAACCTTTGAAGACTGTTTGCAAGGGATATTCATAATCCTGGTGTCTTTTCAGTTATTTCTCCTCCTTGACATTTGGGACTTCCTTTTTCGGTTCATTTTTTAAAATATTTAGGACTATTTTTCTATTTTTACCAAGAAAGATGAATTTTCACAAATCAAGATTCCTTTCCTCCATCCCTGAAGTGGGAAACGTCCTTCCTTCAGTGGGGTTGTAAGAGCCTACAAAATTAGCCTCTCTCATTCCCATTTATTATACCAGTTGACTCAGTTATAGGCATCATTTTACAAATCATTAGCTCAAATGGCCCTAGGGGCAATGAAGCCATGGATGCAATGGGGAGCCTCCTACTTTGGTTAATTTAATTTATATGCTGTCTTTCTACTGGCAAGGGACCCAGGTAGGTCACAAAACACAAGCTAAGCTCAAATGCAAACTAAGTTGAGACTTCAATGATCAGAAAGATCAAACACAGTTGGATAAAGTGTGTGTGTGTGTGTGTAGTGATAAAGTTTAAAATACAATATACACAGCATGTGAAAACTTTCTCTGCAGCCAATCAGTCATTAAATGCCTATCTGAATAAAGGCTGGGAGCCCTTTATTCAAAATGTTTGGGGCCAGAAGTGTTTTGGATTTCTTCAGATTTTGTAATATTTGCCTGGACCTTGAAGATGGGACACAAGTCAAAATACAAATTTGTTTATGTTTCATGGGCACTTTATACACATAGACTGAAGGTAATTCTATACAATATTTTAAAAATCATTTTATGCATGAAATGAAAGTTTGTGTATACTGAACCAACAGAAAGCAAAGGTGTCACTTATCTCAGGTACTCACATGGACAATTTTGGATTTTTTTAGTCTTATGGAATTCATAATTCCAGATAAGGGATGCTCAGTCTGTGTAAAACTCTTTCCATGCTAGAGGAAGCAAAGGGCAAAGGGGTTCCTTAGTCTGGGAGCAACCATCAAAAAGACTCATGTTGGTGGGGAAGAGAGAAAACTTCCCTAGATCTCAGGACTTTGGTAGGTTTGTATATTGACAGATAGCTTGGACCTAAACTGTATTAATATTCCCTCTGTTGCTCGTGGCATTTATTTTCAGGTGCTGTATGAAGATTTTTTTTTTAAAAAAATCCAACAACCTTGAAATCATGTCCCTTGAAATCTGAGCAGAACTAAAACAGCATGCATCAATGCATTGAAAAGCAACAATAATTGCTTCAAAAGTTCATCTCTGTTTCTTAAGTGCATTGTTGTTTTTCTTCTAACATTTCACTTTTCAAGTCTAGTTTATTATGCAGATACTGTAGAGGCAGAAAAATTAGCTGTGCTTTCACCCAAATCATAGAGGAAATGTTATTTCATTCTTTTTGTGTTTATGTGGAATTGTTATGTAAGGAAAATTGGATGTATTTTATGTTCCAGAATGCCTATTAAGATCAAACAGGGAGGACTGTTTGGTTTGTCTATTTACAGTTGCACACGAAATTTGAATATAATAGTTTATTACCCAGAACAACTATCTAGCAAAAATAGTGAGATATCAGCAGCCTTAGCTCATTATAGATGTCCAGGAGGATGTCATTAACAGCTTGTCTTGAGTTTCTCATTCTACTCAATGACAGGAATAATATAGTATTGCAACATATGATCCAAAGTTTCACAAATGAAAAACAGCCAAAGAATATATGAGTGTGGTCAAGAGGATGGAGTTTTTAATGAGGAAGAGTATACCCCCCCTGCCCCTCTGTCTGCTCTGAACGGATGTGTGGCCCTCCGGATTTTGTTGGACTGCCATTCCCCAACAGTCTTTACCATTAGCTTTCATAGTTATGGTTTGTGGAAGGGACAGTCTAAACATTTATGGAGAGCCCTATATTCTCCAACTGTAGAGGAAGTCCAAAAGCAGGACAAGTACAAGGGAGCAAGAAAATAGTAAGGCATAATCTCCCTTTCATTGCATACTATGTAGTTAGTAGCATTATGCTTTTAGTTGTTCATCTAAGCCATCCACACATATCTGCATCAATAGGAGCATAGTATCTAGATCTAGGGAAGTAATGCTACCCCTCTATTCTGCTTTGGTTAGACCACACCTGGAATATTGTGTCCAATTCTGGGCACCACAAGTCAAGAGAGATATTGACAAGCTGGAATGTGTCCAGAGGAGGACTAAAATGATCAAGGGTCTGGAGAACAAGCCCTATGAGGAGCGGCTTAAGGAGCTGGGCATGTTTAGCCTGAAGAAGAGAAGGCTGAGAGGAGATATGATAGCCATGTATAAATATGTGAGAGGAAGCCACAGGGAGGAGGGAGCAAGCTTGTTTTCTGCTTCCCTGTAGACTAGGATGCGGAACAATGGCTTCAAAGTACAAGAGAGGAGATTCCATCTGAACATGAGGAAGAACTTCCTGACTGTGAGAGCCGTTCAGCAGTGGAACTCTCTGCCCCGGAGTGTGGTGGAGGCTCCTTCTTTGGAAGCTTTTAAACAGAGGCTGGATGGCCATCTGTCAGGGGTGATTTGAATGCAATGTCCCTGCTTCTTGGCAGGGGGTTGGACTGGATGGCCCATGAGGTCTCTTCCAACTCTTTGATTCTATGATTCAATGCAATGTAAATTATTCTTGTTCTTTGTTATTGCTGAAGAAATATTTCAGTTTTGATAACAACAAACTGCAAAATACACAGAATTTATTTTGGAAGATGTAATATTTACCTTAAAATTTATCTTTGAGTGAAGTCTGCTTTTTAATGGGTGTTGCCAACATGATAAACCTGGGTCCCACTAAACAGTGGCATATTTATCTGAAATAACAGTCCCCCAATTACATTGCTGTGGAGCATTTCCTCCATAGATAACTAGGAGCATTATCAGTGGAAATCACTGGCCTAAAGAGACAGATATTTTCTTTTGGAATCCTAATGACAGTGAACAGTTTTTCTCGACAGAGCTTGCTAATATGAGAAAAGGGCAACTTGTGGCATTTCAAATGCTGCATTATAATTCCCATCAGTCATCAGAATAGAGATGATGAAAGCTGTGGTCCAGCAACCTCTTGAGGGCCAAATGCTGCCCACCCCTCGTGAAATGATGTCTTCAGTATATAAGAAACAAACAAAATCAGTCACCTTGTAAAATAAAGTGAAACCATCAAACTAGGACTTTATAAAAGGAAGAACAAAAATGCTACTAACCAAACTATAGTTGACTAAAGTTTGTCTTTCTTATTGTGGACATACTGTATTTGACATAAAAGGTGATTTATGACCTTTTTATTTTATTTTATTTTTTAAAGGTGGTTTTTACCATGAGTCTGCAGAACCTTAACCTATAGCACATGAAAATGGAGGAAGTGCAGCTTGGAAATGATGCCAAGCTTAATTAGACTTAATGTGAATTATTCAGAAGTGGAGAGCGGGAGGGATGTATTTCATACAAAGGCACCTGACATTTTAATTGGTCTGACAGAAATGAGACAAAACAATTTCCTTGCAAGAAAATTTACATCTTGCTCATCAAAACAGCAGCCTCAACCAAGCAGAACTTCATTAACCAGATTAATTATCATGCCAGTATATGCCATGTCAGGTGCGCCATCCAGGTGAAGAGTGGAACGCAAAACAGGGGGAAATAACATCACCTCTATTACTTAGCATTGGTTCTAAAAGAAAAAAAAAGAGCATCTTACCTTGATCATTAGCCATTTTGTCAGGATGTTCCACTGTAAGGCAAAAACCATATTGTCAGATTTTTTGACAGTTTCCACCATGTACATTGATTCATCAAATCAACACGTTTGTTAGCCAACTTTTGTATCAAGACAGATCCCCTCTCCCCATGATTGACTGGCATGACAGGCAGAAAAAAAGAGATTTTTGCACGTATCTTCCATTTCACAGTAATTTTGAAAAAAACAAAAACAAATGTGAGTTTCATGACCTAAATAAATCTCATACACACACACATACGCACACACACACATATACATATACACACAAAAGGTTTCTTCAGATCAGAAGTACCAACTAAAAAGCTTAATTAAAAGTGGAAGTGAGGTAACATGAGATTGTTCTTTTGAATAATTAGACACAAATCCTCCTAAGTCTGTTGTTCCTGACTTGGGTTGTCATCATTTTACATTTTGTGGGAGAGCAATTTTATGTGCTTTTAATCACACGAGGAAAAAAAAGAAGATGGCATTACTAGTGCTGCAGTCATGTTCTCATGAGTTACAGACTTTGGCAGCATTCTTCAAGTGCAGTACTATTTAGTTCATTATCATTATTTATTCCTTTATATCATGCCTCCCCCTCCAAAACTGGGACTTGAGACAGTTTACAAACAACAACAAAAAGCACTGACAATGACACACAAAATGGTAATTGTTAAAATACAATTAAACTCTTCAAAGAATCATTTAATTAAAAGTCAGAAAGTGTAAATAAAGCATCACTTTAAAGCACTTGCAGTGAGGTCCTGCATGCCTGTCAGAATATAAATTTTTCACTTCCAAACAGAAGAACAGAAAGACCTGTTTTGTCTCCCTGGGGGGTTCCACGCACCAGGGACTTGTTTATATTAGCCCTAAAACCCAAAGTGTACCAGAAGTCCCTTCTGGATGTCAAAGTGATTTTTAGTGATTTCTGGTTGCGGTTTAGCCCCATATCAAAGAATGTCAAGAATGTCAATGTCAAGGAATAGCCTGAAGTTTTGCTGGAACTATGGAGCAAGGGGATGGACTGGAAAGGGGGATGAATTAAGCCCATGCTGTCTGCTGCCACCATGGGTTTGAGTCATCTCTTTGTTGCCCACTGTCAGCAAATGCACCTGATCTCTTCAGAGTTGTGTGGTTGTTTGGTAGGAAACGTAAGGTGACAGTCCAGCAGGGTTGAATCAGTTTTGGCCTGCCTGAACATGAAGATTCCACCCTGCCACCACCCCTCATGGACACCAATTGTGCAGTTGCTTCCAGTGCTGGTCTAGAACAGTGGTTCATAAAGTGTGCTCCACTGAGCCCTTGGGGCTTCACAAAGCATACTGAGGGGCTCCATGCTTTCCTCCCCCTCCTTCTCCTCTAAGCTTTTCCTCCTCTTTCCTTCTCCTCCCCCAACCTACCTCCCTCACCACCCAAAGCTCTCCCCCTCACCTCCCATGCTGCCCAAAGCCTTTTTTCCTTGCCTCCCTTGCCACCCAAAGCCATTCCCCCCACCTCCCTCACTGGCAAAAGCCTCCATTGCCACCAAAATCCATACCCCTGCACATCCCTCACTACTAAAATCCTTGTCTCCTCACCTCATTTGCTGCCAAAAGCCTTTTCCCCACCTCCCTCACTACCAAAAGCCTTTTTCCTCACCTCCCTCACTGCCAAAAGCCTTTCTCTCCACCTCCCTCGTTGCTCAGGTCCCTTCCCCCTCCCCTTGCTTGCTTCCAAAATCCTACTTTCCTCCCACTGCTTCAAGGGGTTCTTTAATTCTGCTTTTCCTGTATGGCAGAAGGGGAGTTGAACTGGAGGGTCCCTGGGTTTTCTGCTATTATTATTATTATTATTATTATTATTATTATTATTATTATTCTTTCTACAAGGGCTGGATGGCCATCTGGTAGGGTGCTTTGATAGTGCTTTTCCTGCATGGAAGAAGGGAATTGGACTGGATGGCACTTGGGGTCTTCCACTGAAATACTGTTAAATTTATTTTGGTTAAAATTGTCCTTTATTTAAAATATTGCAATGTTCTTTCCTTCTTGCTTTTATTGTTTGCACTACAAATGAGATATGTACAGTGAGAATGGGAATTCGTTCATTTTTTTTCCAATTAGTTCACACAAACACTCCATTCATCTGCCATTGGCCTGGTCCATCTGTCAAATTTTAAAATGCAATGTGTCAAAAAGTTTGCCATGACTGATATATGTACTAGGCTTGGTTGATTTAAAAAATTGGTTCAAAACTCGTCAATTCCGATTTTCACAGAAAAAATAGTTCAAAACTTCAAAGACTTCTGAATCCTTTTGTTAATGGTTTGAAAGTGTTATTTCCTGTTTCATTGGGTGGTCTTTACTTTGAAAGTAGTTGTCTTACTCCAGAAGCAGGGGAGAGCAAGGAGGAAATTCCTTCCTTCTCTGGTTTAAAACTGACTTCTCTGGCTTTAAAACTGGCTTCTCTGGTTTGAGCCGAGGACAGGAATTCCTTCCTTCTATGGTTTAAAACTGGCTTCTCTGGCTTGAGCCGAGGCCAGGGACCAGAAGCAGGGAAAAGGTGAATAATTTCCGACTCACTTCATAAGTCGTAACAAAAATGGCGGGAAAAGCTTCGGAAGAGCAAAGGGACTAGGGCTGGGCGGTTTCGTTTCGTTAATTTGTAATTCGTTAAAAAATTCGTTAATTTTTCAATTACAAAACGATAACGAACCAGTCTGGAGCAATTTTTTTAAAAAAACGAATTTTTAAATCGTTTCATAAATGTTTTGTATTTCGTTATTGTATTCGTTTCGTTATCGTTTTGAGGTCGTTTCGTTATTATTTCCGCATGTCTGGGGCAAGTTTTATAGTTGTTTTTGGTTTTCTAAGGGTTTTTATAGTTGTTTTTGGTTTAATTAAGCTTCAGAAGTTCCCCCTGTCCCATTTGGAGGTTTTTTAGCGTATTGCGCGATCGCGTCCGCCATTAACGAATCGATTCATTATTGTTTCGGAAATCAATTCATTATTGTTTTGTAATTTTTTTCATATTTACGAAATTTCGTAAATATCGAACTTTTTTAAAGGAAAATTTTGTAATTATTTTAAATAACGAAACGCAAAAAACCCCAAAAAACGAATTGATTTTAGAAACAAATTTTTCTGTTGTTACCCAGGCCTAAAAGGGACTTCCGGTTTACTTAAAAACTTCAAAATCACTTTGAAAAGTTGATTTTTCCAACTTTATTCCAAATTATGAAGATTCCGACGGTAACTAACCATGCCTAATATATACATCATATATAATATATTGAATATAAACGTTTCTTGGAGCTACAAGAGAAACTTTTGCTTCAAAAAGGATTCTGCAGCTGAAAAAGTTTGAGAGCAGCATTTCTCAACCTGGGGATCAGGACCCCTGGAGGGGTCACGAGAGGGGTGTCAGAGGGGTTGCCAAAGACCATCATAAAACACAGTATTTTCTGTTGATCATGAGAGTTCTGTATAGGAAGTTTGGCCCAATTCTATCATTTGTGGGGTTCAGAATGCTCTTTGACTGTAGGTGAACTATAAATCCCAGCAACTACAACTCTCAAATGTCAAGGTCTATTTCCCCCAAATTCTAACGGTGTTCACATTTTGGCATATTGAGTGTCCGTGCCAAGTTTGGTCCAGATCTAAGTTCTTGTGGGTTTTTTCGGGCTATATGGCCATGTTCTAGAGGCATTTCTCCTGACGTTTCACTTGCATCTATGGCAAGCATCCTCAGAGGTGAGGTCTCTAGAACATGCCTCTAGAACATGGCCATATAGCCTGAAAAAAACCACAAGAACTTAGTGATTCCAGCCATGAAAGCCTTCAACAATACATTGGTCCAGATCCATCATTGTTTGAATTTACAGTGCTCTCTGGATGTAGGTTGAACTACAACTCCAAAATCAAGATCAATGCCGACCAATCCCTTCCAGTATTTTCTGTTGGTCATGGGAGTTCTGTGTGCCAAGTTTGGTTCAATTCCATTCTTGGTGGAGTTCAGATTGTAGGTGAACTAGAAATTCCAGCAACTACAATTCCCAAATGACAAAATCAATTCCAGCCCCACCAGTATTCAAATTTGGGCATATTGAGTATCTAGTATTTGTGCCAAACTTGGTCCAGTGAATAAAATGCATCCTGTAAATCAGGTAGTTACATAACAGTAGCAAAATGGCAGTTATGAAGTAGCAACGAAAATAATGTTATGATTGGGGGTCACCACAACATGAGGAACTGTATTTAGGGAACGTGGCATTAGGAAGGTTGAGCAAAACTGGTAAAGAGTATTGCTTCTCCAAAAAGGCATGGCATATTTAAAAGGTGTAGATGCAAGTACCAAGAAGAATGTATTAGATCCAATGTCTCCTTTTTTCTGCTTCTATCTAGACCTGCTTCTTCTGCTCATACACAAAGTCTACCCACATGATCATCCTGTAGGTTTACTAATCAGTGTGGTTGTTATTGGGTCCCATGTAAGCAGAGTAGTATATTCACCATTAATCCAAACTTTAAAGAAGTGATCCAAGTGTTGTAAATATTTGGATGGATAGAGCTGGGCACCTCAGGTGGCTTCTTATATATTCATACAGAACCCAGAGCAAATTCATTGTGCTAGTGATATGGATGCCTGATGGAGTTGTATCAGTTTCCAGTAGATTTGATAACTTGTTGGCAGCGTCACATCTCATTTAGCTTGCATTTAATAGGTAGATTGAATAGTATTAGCTTTATAAATGGGGAAAAATAATAAGAGAGGCATAATATTTATTTTTTCCTTCGCTATCCAATTGATCTTTCTGTCCTAAAAGATACATAGTAAACAGTCGGTGGAAATAAAAATCAAATATCAAGTTCTATACTCTCCCCCCCCCCCCAAAAAAAAAGATGGTGCATACGCAAAATATACTTGTTTATTTTATTGAGTGGCATGGTAATTATGTTAACCTGCCAAACATGGATCTATAATGTAGCCTTGATTATGTATCATGTTGAGCCCTAAAGTGACAATCT